AAAGGTGAAAAAAATGCAAAATTGTCACGACCATGAAATATTTATTAAAAAAAAAAAAACAAGTAAATACATGTGGAAGTACAGACATACATACGTATGTATGTTGATTAGGTTGGTATGTAGGTACATTAGGACTGACCAATTTGTATAGGAAATTTTTTTTAACATTTTGCTGCAGTGTCGCAAAGAACTGCTTAAATTTTGTATAAAAACATGCTATAAGGTGTATTTGGTATAAAGAATTCATTTTTACATTATATTTTTCTTAAACATCCAAAGCAGGGCGTAACAGTGAGAATTTTCACATTTTCTTTGGAATATATTTTCGCAATTTGTCAAACTTCAAATTGATTTTAGACCCATGGTTTCTTCGGCATATTTTCTTAGAATTATATACATAGTAAGAAAAATTTACCCGCTCTAATGTATCTCCATACATAAGTTTATATATATGTATGTATGTATGCTTGGATGTATGTTTATATGAAATTGTGTACAATTTTGAAAAAACAAAATTGTAAACTCCGTTGATAAAAACCAGTAAATAGGAGAGCGATGGCTGCGTTGCGATAGAAAGTTCAACGGAAGCATGATTTGAGTTTTTAAACACTTTTTGAGCATATATATTTACATACATATGTATGTAAGTGCGCTACTATATAAATATACATATGTACATATATGCGAGTATTTCATATGAGTATGCAAGTAAGTGTTAACATTTATGTATGTCACGTGATTTGCCTAACATCAGCATTTTTTGGGGAAATTTGATTTGTGGCTTGGAAAATTTCAAAAGCGAGGTTCAACTCTATGATCTTGCTGATATGAAAACGCGATAACAAAAGGGCAAACGCACCACCACACATGCATTCATGCATATGCGCGCCGACACCGGATGACTGTCACTTTTTCCAGTAAACTATTTAACAGCCTATCCAGCGTGCGATTCAAGTGCCACTGAATATATGTAGATGGTACATACATATGTATGTATGTATGTATATTCAGTTGCGTATAAATATGAGTTTAGCTTCTATGTATGCATACTAGACTGTGTGAAATAAAACGATTTTTTTTTCTTTCAGTCACATATGAGAATCTCATTGTCGCTCACAAAATCTTAATTTTTCAGTTATCACTAGCAAAGATAAGAATTTTTTATGAAAAAAAAAAAATTGTGCCCTACTTTTTTTTAACCCTGTTTGATAACCCTACTTGCTGAGAAAACGTATCATGGTTTGCTTGCTTTAATTTTATGGTAATAAAAATTTTATGAAAGTTTTTTTTCAAATATATATCTAGTCTTCAAATATGTATTTATTATTTAAATGCGTTTTATTTAGAAATAACCTTCATTTAAAATCGAAATATCACCGATTTCAATACATACTCATTTTCCAAAAGAGAGAACGAAAAGTTTAATAAAAGCATACGTCTCGCAGACAAATGTACATAGGTTATCAAAGCAAGGTTAAAAAGCAAATAAATATATAAAAAAAAAAACTAAAAAATCTCGTAACCTATTCAATTTTAATACATATAATAAGTGCAAGTTTGAATTAGCTAGGACTCACCGATGATTTTTAGCAATTTTTTTTTAAGGTTTCGTCATTTTGTTTGGCAGAAAATGACTGCTTATGTAATTCAAACTTGAATTAATTATACTAAAATTGAATTCGATACAAGATTGTTTTTTCTATATGTTATATTAAATTGCTTACTAAAAAAAAGTTGCGAAAAAAAAATAATTTTCATTAAAAATTCTTATTTTTGCGAGCGCTAACTAAAAAATTAAGATAGGAATCTGACAACGAAATTTTCATACGGGACCAAAAGAGAAAAAAAAAACATTCGTTTTATTTGACACAGTCTATTGCACATATGTACATAAATACATATCTACGAGCTCATTTATGTACTGTCACACTACCCGGCGCGCCGGCGGCGTGCCAATGACCTCAACACTCCATTAGGTTTTGTAAAACCATTTCGCTTTGTGCAACAACTCAATTTTGAATGGTATTAATCATTTCGTTTCATTTTTTTTTCGTCATTTGTCTACACACTTTCCACATTCACACTCTCTTTTGCGCTACACGCTGCCCGCATATGCTTACTATGCAGCTCAGATTGGTACCCAAATGTATGTACATATGTAAGTACGTACGTACGTATGTATGTAGGTACAACATTTTCGACACCCGCACTCAGCTGACGAATTTTTAATTTCGTTCAATTAAACATTTAGTTTAAGTGCAAAGTACAGTTTTTTTTTTTTTTTTTTTTTTTTGAGCTTGCCTACTCTTTTGTGTAAACTGTCACGTAAAATGCTCAATGAAAGCAATTATGTATTTATCTTTTTTTACTCTATAAGTATGAACTTTTCCCGCTCATTTCTAACAGCAACGTGCGATCATAACGAGCCCTAACTGCCAAAATAACGTAAGCGACATTTTTTTTTTCAAAATTTTCTTTTTGATGCAGTAATGCATCTAGACTCTCCAGGAATATTTCTGCATCGAAAAGACAATTCAAAAAAGATGTCGCTTACGGTATTTTGGTGGTTACGGCTCCAAATATAACTACTGTATTTCCTTTTTATCTGCAGAGCGAATCTTTTTGGATAATTTTCAGACCGGGCATCGGATCAGAGTTCAATCGAAGTCGTATTTCGACGCGTTACCTAAAGTCAGAACACATTGCCGACCTCCCACGAGATTGATTTGAAAAATAAAGTCTTCTTTCATGCTTATTTTCTGAAATCTAGGACGGTACCCGGAGGCTCTGCAGATAGTTTTTCCCTAATTTTGCTTTTGCAGAATCAGTAGTTGCAGAAAATAAGTCACAGTCTACCATTAGCAGAACGCGAGTAGAAATTTGAAAAGCCTCCTGTGAAAACCTGTTTTTTCTTGCCACATATCCTCTTGGGCCAACTCCAAACCATCAAAATGAGATGCAAGTAAAGCGGTCGTTGTTTCCGAAAGCTGAATCGGGAGACATTGGCAGATTAAATTTGTGGTGTGATATTGTCAAACAAACCTTCGACCGGCAGATTGGTTTTTATGAGAAGATTTTAAACGATAGACCAAATTCAAAATAATAATATTAAAATAAAATAAATGTTTGCTTCTTATGTTTATTTGTTTAAAAGTGAAAAGAATTTTTTTTTCAGAATTTACGTACTAAAATTTGAGGTTAATCGAGCAGTTCCACTAAATTTGTATCTATGTATTATCTAAAAGGTATGACCCACAGAAAAAAACGATCGAAGTTTGGTCGGTTCTACGTTACCATTTTAACTCGTAGAAGCACCATTATTACAGCATACCCAAATTATTAAACGGTAAGGCTACAGATAATCACCGCGTAGTCAATTTTTAGTAAACAAAATTACGCATTAAGTTCGAAAAAAAGTTTGATCTATAGGGCTCGATGGGCTCGTCAATGGATAAAGTTACGTCTATAGGAACTATACAACAATATAGGCAACGAAGAGCATATGGAGCAATATGGATTTGAGGAAACAGCGACGTTAGGTAAGGGTTAAAACGTCTAAAGATCCCAAAGCCGTCGAAATTTCTGTGAAAAAATTAAAGTCAGAATTTACATTACTATAATTTAGAATTAAGAATTATTTACTTATTTAATTTTTTTTCTGTGTAACTTCTAATGTATTATATGATATCTTCATACGCACCAATTTTTGTTGTGCTAAAAAACAACAACAGAATTCTTATTGTATTAATTTAACTCTTTGTTTATAAATAAATTCAAATTCAAATTCTTTTGATTTTCGATTCCCGAATTTTTTTGTCCCCTTTCCTCAGAACGTTAGGATTATCGTATTTGGGTTCGATCAGTTCTATGAAAAATCTGTCGACTGCGAAGTTATTCAGTTTTTCTAGTTTGTTTTACCATCTAAAAATTTGTATATGTTTTATATGTCTTTCGATCATTACTGAATAAAAATAACACAATTACACACACATACTATTTTGTGAACCAGTATATGCTTGTATACCGGTCAATTAAATACCGAAAACCTTCGAACTTATACTTCTTAAGCCTTTCAAGGCTAAGGAAAATCAGTTTTCCAAACCATAAGAAAATGTTTTGAAATGTTTAAGAGCTATTTATATGTATCTCACTATGAGCTAGCTACTTTTGTTAATTTTTTTTTTAATATTCAAAAAATAATAATGAAAAACAAAAAAAATGTATATGTGTAAAAAATGTCGAAATTGTATATTTAGCTCTCAAAATCACTGTATATAATTCAAACTGTGTCTTTTTGGCTATGGTCCTGAAAGGTTTAATGCGCCGATATCCGTTTTACACTAAGATAGCAACACAGATATCCAGAAAAGTATTTTTATTTAAAGGATTTTAAATATGTACCTCATCTAAACTAGCTACTGTTGTTAAGTAATTTTTTTTAACAAATTTTTATCAAAAACGTAAATTTTAAAAATGGATTCCATTGAAATAATTTGCCTATTTAGCTCAAAAAAAATCTCTATCCATAAATCAAACAGTGTTTGTTAGCTATAATTTTATGGTCCCGAATGGGTTAAGGTACCAATATTCCTTTTACACTAAGAAAGCATAGCATCGCATCTAGCAAACACGCTGCCGCCGAACATTTTGAAATCCGACTGAAGCAAACACATCAAAATTTTAATCCATTGTATTTCCTAAAACTTTCCTAATCTGTTTTAATTTCAAAAACCACTTTACAAACGAAATTAGGTACTTTCGAATTGAACCAAATGAAACAAAAACAAACGCGGCAAAACATACGCACCCATTTTTTTTTTTTGTTTTTTGCTAAACTAAAAATAGTTTTTAAGAAAACATGCACTAATCAATCATGACACAGTGTCACGTCTTGATAGAAAAAATCTCGAAAGAAATAACAGAAAACGTCAAATGTAAAAAAGTAAGGAGAAAAAACTCTTTAAGAAAAATCACTTTTGTATTTTCAACAAAACACTTACCCAGAAACCGGCGCGTACGTACGTGCTCCGTATGTTTATTTAAACAAATAGCCAAGCCTTGCCACGCCACACCACACCACACCGCACACCATACCACGCACTCGCCTCTGCCTTTCTTTGCCCCTAGACGGGCGGCGGCACAGCGCTCCTTAACTGATCACCGCCCGGCGCACATGTGTGTTTACTCGCTTTAGCGAGCGATAGGCTGAATGAATGCAAAAGTGTTGTTGGCGTTATTGTAAACATTCATACATTTGACGCGATCATTGTTGGTTGTTTGTTTCGCATAGCTACTGTCGTTGTTGTTGTTGTTGCTTTAGTTGTTGTTTTTCTCGTCTTGTTATTCTGAGTGTTCACGACTTATCAGCACCTGACCTTTCAACACTATTCAGCAACAACAACAGTCACCACTAGCGTGTTGTTTTTGGTTTGCTCTTTTTTTAATGTTCTTTAATTTTTCCTCGTTTCATGATGAGGCAGATTGCTGGCTTTTATAAATATTTACATTGTTGGCACACAACGAATAGCTGGTACGTTGGAGCTGTTAGCTGGTGGCTGGCGTGAGGAGGAGCTCCACTGATCCGTCCGGGCTGAAGTTTCAAGAACAACTGACGTTTCGAGGCATAAAAAGTCGGCATATAAATTGTCGATTGTGGAAATGTACATAAAAAATGTATGTATGTACATAAGTAAATATGTACAAAAATGTATGGGGTACATAAAGTCTGCTTATCGGTTGACTGACAAACTATATACTTGCATTCATACAGATATTTGTTATACATGTGCCTATATACATACATATGTACGTACAATTGCATTGCATTTATGCATTTTTATACTTAGCTCTAGCGCGAGAAATGCTATGTGTTAAATATGTATGCAAATATGTATGTAGTTAAAAACATATCAACGAAAAGATTCCAGTTCAGATTTCAGCAGATCTTGCACTGGAAAAGCTAATATTTGTACGCTGATCGTTTTAAGTGAGTGCGAAAAAGAAAATGAGAATGAGTACACAAGCCGATGTGCACATTGTGTGTACCCTGCAGCGAAAAGCTGAATCAGTATGCACAAATTCCAGTTGATGAAATATTACACAGGTCCGCAAAAAAAAATCGATGGAAGGTTCCTTTGACCAAACCTAGTGTGTTATATGTTTTTGGGGTCGCTGAACACGAATCTGAAGTCCGTTTTGCTCCATCAGGTCTGGATTTTTTCTAACCTAAGAAAACCTCAGACAGGGGAAATCCGCTTGGTGGTTGTTAAAGTAAAGTAAGATAATTAATTTAAATAGTTATTTCAATTTAAATATAAAATAAAAATTTTACATAAATTGAATTTCATTTAGAAAAAACCTAAATACCCACATACCATAAAAAAATAAAATAAATATTTTTTCTTAAATAAATAAATAAAATAAAAGTAAAAATAAAATCGCTCGCTGAGATTCGAACTCGAATCTCTTGATTTGGCATGCCAAAGCTCTACTCTGTCGACCATTGCCACTGTTGCAGCGCTACAGCATACTTATGCTTTTCACGGGGGGCGAATAGGCAGTCATACGAATAGGCATACCGTCAACTGGTATAATAATACTAGTATTTCTACTGGTGGCGTGCTGATGCAGGAGCCGGCAATTGACATCTCCTATGAAACCACCACGTTTAAAATACCAGTCGCTAACATTGAAAAGGGATACAACCTAAACTAGTTGGGGTTGTGAAACGCAAACTGGTAGCATTCTGGTTCACAACTGGTAGCTTTCCCTGCAGGGTATGTATGGATGTATGTAAGTGCAAATAGATATGTATGAACATACATACATAAGTACATTCATTTAACCACAAGTCGTTATGAAAATCTGAAATGCATACACATACATATTCGCATGCATCGGCTTCAGCTTCAACGTTAATAATACTAACGCACGTACCATATTTAGAAACTTGATTATCAATAGATATGTACGTACATATACAAATATATGTACATTAGACTGCATCACCAAGCAAAGATTCGGTTTATCCACCGGAATTTCAAAACTTATTTTATTTGAAGACTTCCACCATAGAATTTCGGAAAAATATTAAGATTTACGTGAGCTGTTGCAATTTGAAATACCTTGAAAAAAAATCATTCAGATGACAAAACAGTTTAAGCTTAAAAAATCTGCATATAAATACAAAAAAAAAAAAAGCGTGAGAAAATACCTTTCCAATGATAACTCATAAGACTAAGACGGTATAGTTTTGACCCAGTTACTCAAGTTTTTCTTAAACCAATATTTGAAAAAAGGAAAAAAATAGCATTAAAAATCTCATTATTTTGATTTCGTTGAAAATTGAAATTTCGAAAATATTTCTAAGCAAGTTGTTTAAGATTAAACTTGTATGTCATTTGAGGTGCTCTTTTTTTAAATCTTAAAAAGAAAAACTATTTTTTTCATAAACTCAGTTTTTAAAGGTATTTTGAAATCGATGCAGCTCACGTAAATCTTAATACATTTCCGAAATATTTTGGTGCGGGTCTTAAAATATAATATATTTTATAATTCCAGTGCAAAAACAGTACACATTTTTTTTGTATGGGGAGTGATGCAGTCTAATGTACACACTAGGAATGTTAATCCCGGGATCCCGGCCTCTTTAGGTCCCGAAAATCCCGGGATAATTTGCACTGATGTCAATAATAGAAACTCCTTTTCTTGACCAGTATTATCTATATTTATTTTTTATTTAATAATGAATATTTTTTCATAAATGTCTAGGTCATTATACATATAACACCGTACGATAGTAAATTTTACACACAAAAATCAATATATTCGTGTAGCCTTCTATGAAATATTGTAAAATTGCGTTTATAGTTTTTCACCCTGACGTAGGTAATTCTAAAATTATTTAAAAAATTCAACGAAATGTGCTTAGAGAAGAAGTATGGGTATCAAGTTAAAGAAGAAATTCTTTAGAATTTAATCAGATATTGAAAATGTCCTTTTAAAAATTTTTCCCTGAAATTTCGCAATATTTATTTTTGAAAGAATTATAAGTTAAGGACTCATATAAACTCGATAACATCCTCCAATTTCGTCCTTCTAACATTATCAGCTTAAAACATTACCTATTCGTCCTTGTGAATACAAAAAATTTTAATTTTTTTAAATTCTAAAGAAATTTCCTTCCGTTTTTTGGTACCGATATTTTTATTCTACAATGCATTGAATTTTTTAAATAATTTTTGGAATTAGTCATATGTTTGAAATAACAAAGTCCTTTAAATAAATCCTGACGCCAGAGAGAAAAAATAAAAACGTCTCTTTAAATAAAAAAATAGGTTTCAAACCCATTTATTTATTATTTATTTTATGGTAGGAAGAGTCAGCTGGGGTCGTGGGATCGAATCCCACTGAAAGAAGTCTGATGAGGAAATGTGGTGATTTCCGAAATAGCTATCACTTCTACCATTTTTTTAACTATTGTTGCTTTTCCACAATAATTTTTCATTAAAAATGGCCTCAAGCTCAATAAAAATTGTTGAATATAGGTTTTATAAAGCCATAAATAACAAAAACAAAGTAGGAGAGCTTCTCAAACAATTTAGGAGCAATTTTTTTCGATTTAAGTTGTTGAAAAATAATGACTATCTAAATCCCGAGACTAATCCCGGGATTGTGATAACGACATCCGGAAAATCCCGGGATCGTGAAGAGCCAAAAAATTAACATCCCTAGTAAATACATATATACATTAGGATGAGGCACAGGCATTGAAAAAAATCCTTCTCTCAAGCAAATTACAAAAATACAAGATTTGGTGACTTTACCGAAAGATTAAAACTAAATTGGAAGCCATGATTAACCTTGGACCACCTTGAATATCTATTTACTGATTAAAAAAAAACTATAATTTTACTAAAAGTTTAAAAGAAAACAAAATTACTTTAACGGCAAAATATCATAATATTGCAGTTAATAAGTCGAACCATATAATTTAAATAATAATTTTTAATCCATAGTCTTATGGTCCTGAAAGGCGTGAATTTAATTTTTACTTGAGTTACCGAGACTTCGCTCGTTGAAAAGCTATTTTTGTCGAAAAAAAATTTCGATCGATAGATATTTTCTTACTTATGACTCAAGATCTCGAAAGGGTTAACCACCAATTTCCTTAAAACCTTATGGCCGCATAAGGGTTAATATCATTCCCGTTGAAACTTTAATAGTCCACGCATTTATAGACCGATTTTCATTTCGAAGGCACCGTTTAAAGCTATTTTCTTCCAACAGTTATTTATAGTAAGAATTTCATGGAAATTTTCGGTGTGTTAAAAATCGTTTTAATCTTTTTTAATTTCATCACTTTTAAACACTATACAAATACATATACAAACGTTTTTTACGACAAATTTTAGAAACCCCAAAAATAACAACACCCCTAATGCAAAACTATGCCAAAGGTTTTAATGTGGAGGTTTTTTCCGTAATTCAATGGACATATGTATATGCAATTAAACTAATATATATATATATAATATGTATATACAAAGTACATACATACATCCGTTCGTACCTTGCGGGAAATGTGTCTAACTTTGAGTTAACTTGAAGTTGATTAAGAAGGAACTAAACGTCACTCTTATTCGTATAAATGTCAAGGGTGGCTACCTCTGCATTAGATGTCAACTAACTTGTAACTAACTACTTTTGGACTTAGAATTATCAATAAGAAAAACAAAATTTTTTTTTGTTTTTTTTTTTACTTTTTTATTTATTTACTTTATTTTATTACATTTCATATTTGTTTACATATTCTGCTGTATAACTTCAAAATAAATAAAATTTCGATCTTCCTTTTATTTGCCCTCAATTGGAAACAGTATTTGTGAAGTGCAGAGAGAAAATGTATTCGAAGTAAACTTAGATAGAAACTTGTTTAATGAAAACAATCTCCCGATTACGTCTGCATTACTCCTGCACTACTTTTCAACTAGTTTCAAGTTATTTTTGTAGCTAACTACAAGTTGTTTACATATCTTATAGAAATACCGCAGTAAAGCTAGCTAAAAGTTGGTTATTTTTTATCAATTTATAATTTTTTTCTGCAGGGTACATACATATCGTCGTTTAAAGTACAAAACCGCGTATCGTCGTTCTGGAAAACCGAGCAACTGGATATTTTTTGCCAAAAGCTGGATTTTCTCACCGAAGCTCTTGACTCAAGCTTTATCTTTTGAATTTTCTTGATACGCGGGTTTGTACTTTAAACGACGATATATGTACTTATGTATATGTATATATATATATATATATATATACGTATATACATCTATGTAGGTATGTGCAAAGGGTATGTATTTAATTCTATGAATAACATTAATTGTATCTATGAATGTTGCATGCAAT